TGTTAAATGTATTAATATTTCTGAGAATAATATTTCTCATGCTTTATATAAAAATAAAGAGAGAAATTCTCCAACAAGCTCTGAAATGAGCTTTAGAATGCCTAGTTAAATATGAATATTATAGAAAATAAAACAATAAGAGACTTCCTTAATAAGGAATTTCAAGAAGAAAAACATGAAAACATTAGAAAATGGTTGTTTCAAAGTTTCTCAAAAACAGAACAGCTAGAATTTAAAGACAAGTATTATAAAGACTTGCAAAATGATCAAAAATTAGAATTTTTTATTCCTTGGTTCCTAAAGTGTTATATACATAATTAAGAAAGTCAAATTAGAGTTATAGAAGAACATTATAAACAGTGGAAATCTGCCACTGGAATGAATATAAGATCTATATATCCTCCTACAGATGCTTTAAAAATATCTGGTATTCACTCTAGTAATCTAGAAACTAATGCTTTCGTGAAGATAAATGAGTCAAATGACGAAACTATAAAAGAGTTAAATAAAATAATTAAGCAGCATAATTATACAAATTTATCTTCAAGTTGTAGGAAAACAGTTAATAAGAATTGAAGATGCTCTAGAAAAACTAATAAATAAATTCAATGAAGTCATACCTTCATTAAAATTTTTAGAAATTAATAAAATTCTTAATACTAATAGTGAAAGGGCAACAATAAAACCTCCTATAGATATTTTAGGTTTTAAAAGAGGAGATGAAGTAACTTCTGACATAATAGAAATGTTAGCAAAAAAAATTAATAATTTTAAATTAAATATGGTAGCTTCAACTTCATCTGTTATTCAAACAAATTCTTCAGTAGATGAAATAAATAATCTTCAACATAATACATCTGAAGATGAGTTAACTCAAAATGAATTATTAACTTTAGAAGATCAATTTTCATCAATTAACAAAAAGAAAAATCCTTCAAAAAGAATTGAGAGGTATTATTATAAAAGACCTACTCCTCCTGATGTTTTATTCGAAGAAAATGATACATATATTCAAAGTGATTACAATGGTAGAAATATTTATGAGTGGAATATAGATGGAGCATCAGACAATCTTATATATTCTACCATGCATGACAATCTTATATATTCTACCATGCATCGTATGATGATGTATTCTACTGTATGTAGACAAAACAGTAATACTGATAGAATGATTGCTTCGTATATTACATGTGGTTTTATTGGTGTCCTTAAAGGATGGTGGGATAACTATTTATCCTCTGATGCTAGAAATGAAATTTTAAATTCAATAAAAATTGTTAATGGTATTGCACAAGAAGATGCTATTTATACTTTAATGTTAGCAATAACACATCATTTTACCGGATTATATCAAGATAATGGAGAAAGAATTAGGACTTTATTACAAAATTTTAGATGTCCTTCTCTAACCCATTTAGATGGTATAAAGATACTTATTTAAGTAGAGTTATGATGCTTGATAATGCTAACATCGCTCATTAAAAATCTAAATTTATAGATGGATTACTAACTTTATTTGTTGATAAAGTCAGAAATAAAATAAGAGATGAACAAGGAGGATACATCCCCTATGAAAACCTTACTTATGGGTATTTAATAAATGCATGTATTAAAGAAAGATTAGCTTTGTGTAATGATTTAAAATTAAAAAATGAATTGAAGTCTCAAAGACTTACTAAAAGAAAAGAATTAGGAGAATTCTATGAACAATTTGCCTTTGATCAACTTATAGAGTTGATAAAGAAAACACCCGACAATGGTCGTCACGCATCTCGAGCTCGTAACAGTGAAAGCAGGGTGTTTTTTGGAAAAAGGCGACGATGAAATAAAAAAAACACAGCGCTCGTAACCTCTTTCTCTCTTCATCAGCTAAAATTTCATTCCCAAAATCACAGCGAATTGAATCAGCCAGCGAATTGAATCAGCCGACTTCTCCCATTTGTCCTCCTCTGTCAAGTTCCCCAACTTCGTCCACCACGAAAGTAGCATCGCCGCCGATAAAAACCGATCTTCCTTCGAGCTCGAGCGCTCTCTCGAGATCCCCATTGCTCCTCCTCCATCAAGCTACCTCCTTCCCCCAACTCAGGTAAGGATCACACCCATTCCCAGCTCGTTACAGGTTTTGATTAGGGTTTTTTTTATTTTTTTTGATTTCAGGTGTTTCAGCGACCTCTCCCCCAACTCTGGCCCTAAGTCATCGCGGACGAGCTCGTGGTCGAAGGTACAGAGCTCTGCCGGTCTTTTTTAGGAATCAATCTATAATCCTGGAAAAACTTGTTCTTTAATCCTGGAAAAACTTGTTCTTTAATCCTGGAAAATTTTGGTTGAAAGTAGCAGTGAGATTCAAGCTTAGGAAATCTCTTTTTTTAGGAATTATAGATTGATTACAAGAACTAGGGATTTGATGCTTGAACTAGGAATTTTAATCTGAATTTGGCTTTTGATCTCTGTGCTTTTTGACCTTGATATTATTAGTATTGTTTAATGACAAGTTGGATTTGATGCTTGAAATGTAAATTTTCTTAGGCTAAGACCACTTGGTACAAAGGAATCACCATGCTGTTATTTTCGTCTTGGAGCAACGCTATCAAATTTTAACCAGGGGTGCGAGACTTTAAAAAAAATAACCCCTCTAGAGTCTGTACGCAGCAATAAAATTATAGGGGTACCAAGTGCGAAAGAATGATACTATATGGATGTATGTGAAATTAACTCTTGAAAATAAATATCAAATTGAAGATTGTGTCATGTTACTAAAATATCAACTTTAGTAGACGACCTGATCTTCGATATGATTTATGAATGGCAAAATTCAAGAGTACTAATCTATACCCCCTGCACTTCATATACATTGACTTCAACAAATATAATAAATATTGCATATAGAAACCAAAGTAAAAAATGTACCTGAAAACACTTCAACTATCTTTACCAAAGTTGGTAAGACCAATATTAATGTCACGCTCATTTATCTATTTAGTACACATTGATGAACGTTAGTTATGATTTTATATAACAAATTCCTGTCTAGATAAGTTAATGAAGTGAGAGCATAATAGTATGTTCCAATTTAAGTGTTCAGTGCGTAGGATAAATAAGTTTGATTGAGCACAATGGTATTGTGTATTAATTTGAAAGTATTCAGTGCGTAGGATAAATAATTACTTTTTTTAACTTTGCTTGCTAACTGATCATTTGTAAAAATTTTGTTTACCCTCCAATTTGGGGTATTTTCAGGTTATCCATGGCTAGAAAAAGCTTTTATGTTGTGAAGAGAGGTCGACGATGTGGTATTTTTAATAATTGGGAGGAATGCAAATCTCAAGTAGATAAGTTCCCAAATGCCTCCTACAAAGGGTATGCAACATACAAAGAGGCTTTGATTGAATGGGAGAAGCACACACTCTCTCCCGATTCAGCATCCAGCTCGAGGCCTGTCCAAACATCTGTTTATGCTCAAGAACAAAGATATCCAGTGAGCCATAATCTGGATGTGGACAAGGAAAAACTTGGGGAAACTTCTATTTTCTCTATCTATGCTTTTGTATTAGGTTCATTGTTTACAATATTAGTATTTCTAGTATGTATCGTTGCAGTATTTGTTGGTTTCTCCATTGCAAAAAACATGTGATGTAATTTGTATTAGGTTCATTACTTTCTTTGAACTGAGGGAACTTTCATGTGATCAATTTTCAAAAAGCTCAGTATATTATTGCTTTCTTTCAGAATGAGTAGACATATTAAGTGATTGATTTATTTTACATACTAATTTAAGTGTTTATCTTTAGTAATGTTCCCTTCTTTCTTTTTTTGTTTTAGATGGCAGAGTACCTCTCTCTATTGAGTACCTCTCTCTATTGAGTCAAGATTAACATTCTTTGTTCAGGAGATGTGAAGCTATCTTGGGTTTACTCGAACAGCATGTAAAAGATCCCCAAGCTCATGTTTATACATTGAGGAAGGTAGGAGCAGCAGGTTACGGAATTATATATCAAGGGACATATAACCAGTGTAGAAACTCAGACATTTCCACAAGCTCATGTTTATACATTTCGGAAAGAGTAGACATATCAAGGGACAAATAACCAGGACAAATAACCTTCACAGCATTCGCATGGCAGCTGCAATTAGTGTGAGCACTGGAGCTACATATGTACTCAAGGGACATATAACCAGTGTAGAAACTCAGACATTTCCACACCAGTAGCTCAGACTTCAACACATCATATACAACTAAACACCATAGATTATAAAGAGAAGGTTAAACACATCATATACACCAGTAGCTCAGACTTCAAAATCTGGAAAAATATTTATAGTAAAAGTGCATTTGTAGTAAGAACCCATGAATAAGCTGATGGAAGAATATGGATATAAATTGTTTGCCAATCAAAAGTAGTCTCCAGATTATGGATATAAAATGTTTCCCTTATTTTCATGTTCCTGATCTGATTGTCCAGAACTGTCTTCTGCATAACATATATAAGTTTAGTTACAACAGCTATCTGAATCAAACAATCAAACATAGTTTAGTTACAACAGATATTATACATCAAGTAGGAGACAACAAATTACTGCATCTATCTGCTGAAAACATCACGTCTGCAATTTTCATTCTTGAATACAGTACCTGCAAGGAGCGTGCAACAAGTATACATCAGATGTAATCTAATTTGTAGAGTTAGAAGGAAATATGGATATTCCATGTAATAAATCTGAAACAGAAGGTAACAATTGGATGATGAGCATGTCATTAAAATGACCAATAGATATCACAGTACCCATATGCACTAAATCTGGCAAAATAGAAGCATGTAGAAGACCGTCTTCATAGGAGCACATCATCCCCATCTTCACTTGATGACCCATTACCCTCTTGCCAATTTGTATCACCGCATGTAGAAGACCTATATTATAATAAAAAAATATATATATACACCAAGGGGATAATAGAAGGTGAAGAATAAGAAAGGCTTAAATAATAAAAGAATTACTACTTACGGATTTGTGAGTGCCGGACAATTTTTCTTATCATGTGATTGGCCTACTTTAAAACACATGTGGCAATGTCTATCTTTTTTATTTTTTGCTCTAGCCATTGCTTTCTCTTTTCCTCCCTTCAACCTTTTGCCGCACCCTTTTGCTCGCACTTGATCGGGTTCATTGAAACTATTTTGAAAAGTACAAGAATCCTGCACACTAGTACCATCATCCATTAAATTACTACTCATTTGATTATTTTTCTCGGTGAAGCTCTTTGCAACCGTGCGACCACTAACCATGTGGCTACTAATGAATTGGTCGATTTGCTCATTAATGATACGCACTCCATCGATAAACATCTTCCTCGTTTCTTCACATACAAGGGACTTGTTAACTAATTCCAAAGATGATTGGATAAATTGACTCCATGTTAAAAGATAAGAATTGTCAGGGCTTATCTGCATACCTTTATTATCAACCACTGTCCCCGATTTTGCAGACTTAGTCCACCTCTTTAAGATGTATTTATCGGGCAATATTTCAGCATCAAATTTCATCAAATAAGAGATAATGTGAGTACATACGATTCCGGTGCTTTCAAACTTTTTACAACTATAAGAAACCAAATCCAAGTCCTTGTCATAAACGATTTCGCGGACTTTGCTTGTTGCGAGCTTCTTTCTTTGAATTTGATACACACGGCGATTGTCGGTTTCCCTAACAAACTGCAACTTGTAGTTAAAGCTGTCACACACTTCTGCCTCAAACTTGTAATACATCTCATTAGTGTAAATATCAACCATTTGCTCCAAAAAGTCATGATTTATTCTAAGTTTAGGTTTCTCAATCAAGTCTTTATGATCGGCCATCAACTCCTCGTGACGTTGGCGCACTAGTCCCCTGCACAACTATATCAAAAAATCCACCAATGAATTATTCTTCGAAACAAATTTCTTGAAGAATGCATGTCCACTTTCTGCTCGTTGGTTACTTGACATGTCTGCTGAGAAAATGTGATTAACATATGCAGGAATCTATCTTGACCGAAGTTCATATTGGTCTTGCAACCACTTGTTTCCTTCTAACCCACTTTTCTTAATCATACTTTCCCATTATAAATCAAATTCTTCAGGAGTCTCTGATTTCCAAATGCAAGCCGAGGACTCACTTTTATAAATACTATACTTCACTGCATCAATTTTCTCAAAAAACTTTATTAATATATGCCAACTACAATACCTGTCAAAAGAATTAAATAAAGTGTTAAAAAGAAAGACTATGTATATAAATATTTTTAATAATATACACAAACTATAATACCTGTGAAAAGTATTTGGAAGAACAAGAGGGAATGCCTTAGTCATCGCTGGGTCTTGATCGGTAATAATAAGAACAAGAGGGAATGCCTTAGTCATCGCTGGGTCTTGATCGGTAATAATCATCTTCGGGGCACCACCAAGCATACTTTCCAAAATTTGATTAAATAACCATACAAAATCATCAACGCTCTCATGATTCAAAAATCCACAAGCAAAAACAATTGTTAGACCATGATTGTTAACCCCCATTATTGGTGCAAATATAAGGCCATAGCGATTAGTGTTGTAAGTAGTATCAAAGATTACAACATCACCGAAAAATTTGTAAGCCCGCCTTGATCTTGCATCGGACCAAAAACAACGAGTAATCTTTTGTTTCTCATCGGCCTTAATTTGAAAAGTAAATAAGGGATTCTTTCATTGTTCTAATTTTAAATATTCATAAAACATTTCACCATCATGCCCCTTCAAATCAGCCCGTATATCCCTTTCATGATTATACAAATCTCTTTGAGTGCACCCAATATTTTCTATACCTCCTGATTGTACTCCAAGAAGTTGATACTGAGGTATATTCACCATGGATAACTGTTTAGTTAGAGACTTTGTTGCGGCTGAAACGTTACGATGTGATCTTAAAAGATGAACATCTGATAGTGTTGATAGTGGGTGGCTGTGCTCCTCATTAAAAACAGTAACAATGTATTTTCCGGAGTTTGATTTTAAAACAACAATTTTGGCAGTACAATCCTCAGCTAAGCTTCCTTGATGTCTTTTCTTTCCAACATCCGTGAGTTTTAAAGATTTTCCTTGTTTAAAACAAACATACTCATTTCTTCTTATTTCACAACTTCCCGGCTCTTTCTGAGTAGTCCAAGACCTTACACTAAACTCAGCTGCTTTAGCATAAGCATTATAGAATGTCACAACATTATCTATTGTGTCAAATTCTTGCCCTTTTTTTGGCCTCAACTCATATGATACTTGAGGAGTATATATCAAATCATCGTCGTCCAAGTTTATTTCATTAGCTTTAGTGCCCAAGTTATCCATTCTGTAATTAACCATGTTAAAAATATATGCAGATTAAGATGCAGCAAGTATTGTATACTAACAGGTTTAATTTTGATGGGGTGATTAAGGCATTAATCTCTCAACTGTAGAACAATAATGAAGAAAAAAATAATCCAAATTCAGATTAAAATTCCTAGCTCAAGCATCAAATCCCTAGTTCTTGTAATCAATCTATAATTCCTAAAAAAAGAGATTTCCTAAGCTTGATTCAAGCATCAAATCCCTAGTTCTTGTAATCAATCTATAATTCCTAAAAAAAGAGATTTCCTAAGCTTGAATCTCACTGCTACTTTCAACCAAATGTAATCAATCTATAATTCCTAAAAAAAGAGATTTCCTAAGCTTGAATCTCACTGCTACTTTCAACCAAATTTTTCCAGGATTAAAGAACAAGTTTTTCCAGGATTAAAGAACAAGTTTTTCCAGGATTATAGATTGATTCCTAAAAAAAGACCGACAGAGCTCTGTACCTTCGACCACGAGCTCGTCCGCGGTGAATTGGAGCCGGAGTTGGGGGAGAGGTCGCTGAAAAACCTGACATAAAAAAAAAACCAAATCAAAACCTATAACAAGATGGGAATGGGCGTGATCCTTACCTAAGTTGGGGGAAGGAGGTGGCTTGATGGAGGAGGAGAAATGGGGATCTCGAGAGAGCGCTCGAGCTCGAAGGAAGATCGTTTTTTGTCGGCGGCGATGCTGCTTTCGTGGTGGGTGGAGTTGGGGAACTTGACGGAGGAGGAGAAATGGGGGAAGTCGGCTGATTCAATTCGCTGTGATTTTGGGAATGGAATTTTAGCTGATGAAGAGAGAGAGAGGTCACGAGCGCTATGTTTTTTTTGATTTCGTCGTCGCCTTTTTTCAAAAAACACCCTGCTTTCACTATTACGAGCTCGAGATGCGTGACGACCATTGTCGGGTGTTTTTTTAAAAAACACCTTGCTTCGACGAGAACAGAACTGATGCGTATGCATCAGTGCGCATGAGAAACTCTCTGTATATATATATATATATATATATATATATATATATATATATATATATACACACACTAAACAATCTACACAAGTGATAGGGTAATATGATAAGCAATACACAAAGGCGATATAAGATATGAAAACAAGAATAAGAACGCCAATAGAGAAAACTGGGGAAGCGCTGGCCAGCGCTCCCCCCGTGCGCTGCTTGGGTTTTTTCGAAAAAAAACACCGCGATTTCAGCCCCAACTTCCCAAAAAGCTTGCTCTCAATAAATGTCTCCGATTTTCTCTCTCAACAAAAGAACAAACAAACCCAACTCAGATCCCAACTTCCCTCCTCCCTCTCTCGATCTCTCACACGCCGCTCGGAGGGATCTCGATCTCTCACGCCGCTCGGAGGGATCTCTCTCACGCCGCCACGCCCCCGAGTCTCGCCGAGCCCAGCCCCGACTCCGTCAAGCCACCGAGTCTCGCCGCCCCCAAGTCTCGCCCCCAACCACGACGCCGCCGCCGCCACGACTCGGCCACGACACCGCCGCCCCCGATCTCAGGTTCCCTAACTCTCCGTCGATTGTTGCCTCTCTTTGAAAATTTTTAGTTAATCTATTTTGCTTTGTCCTTGTAACTAATAAATGTGATGATCAGTCTCGGTGAGAAACTGACGGAGGAAGAGGCGGAACAAATGATTAGAGAGGCGGGTTTGGATGGCGATGGACAAGTGAATTATTAAGAGTTTGCGCAACTGATGCAAAATATGTAATCAACGTGTTTTTCAAATTTTACTGAAACAATCTTTGGCGGATCACCCCGTGTTTTTTTTGTAACGAGTACAAAAGAGCTTGGTATTGTATGATGTTATTAGTAACAGGGTGATCATCATGTATTCCTTTTCTTCTTCTTTTTTTTGACCCTCTAACACAGCAGAGGAATAAAGCCTTTCATTTAGTTGGATATCTCATTTGAGGTTAAAAATGTAGAAGTTTATCTAATTTCATTGGAAGATTTATATATGTGAATTGATGGTCTACTATGTTGGGGATTTGTATATATAAATTCGAGAGTAGAAGAAATGTGAGCAAACAAGAGAACTAGAATACCAGGGGAAAGTAGTAAAAGTGAGGCAAATTTAGAGGAACTGCTAGAAGAGAATATACTTAGATATTTCTGCATTAATTCGTGTACTCAAGCCAAAACCAGTCTTTCAGTTTTTCACAAGTTCACTGTTAACCACTACTCAAATCAAATACATGATCCAAGTCTGTAGTCTGTTCACATATGAAAACAAATAAATGTAGGAATATATAGGTTCTAATTTAATCAAAATTTATATGTGGAAGTTAATAATCCAGTTACTAAAAAGTTACTAATCTAGCAATAGCATCATAGCGTGGTCTTTTATTAAAAAATATCTATGTATATATATGTGTGTGTATATATATATATATATATATATATATACACACACATACATACATATATATATTCAACTTAGAGACTTTATCTCAAAATTTGAAAAATAACATGCTAACTCTTTGTGTTTCAATCAATTCCTAAGCCTCCTGATCATTTTATTTTCCAATAATATATATATATATATATAGAGAGAGAGAGAAATATGGGTATGCTTGGTACCAAGCACAAAATTTGTGCTTGGTAGTGAGGTGGCATATTATCCTCCACT